TAAAGAACAGATAGTGGAAGCGACTTCATTTTATACTAAGTTAAGATATCAAGGACTCAATAAAAATAAATAAAACGTGGTAATGATCCTGTGATTTTTCCTAATTGTACGTATAGTTAAGCTTAATTTGAATCCGAATTTCGATACGGTGTTGCTACATTAAATCAATCAATCAAAGTCAATCTCTAAAATTGATGATATTGAGAAATAATGATGAATTTATTTTTTAATATCGGATAACTAATAGAAATATTTATTTGCATAATAAAGCAAGATATTTGTGTCGTATATTTTTACATGTATCTGTAATTAATAATTAAGAATATTCATTGCCAGAGTCTTAAAACGTTTCTATTATCTGTCAATATTAAAAAAGAATAAACTATTTCTATTTTTTCCAATGCTTGTGTGTATAGAAAATTTATTTCGATGATTAAAAAGTACTTAGTATTGAATATATGTAAAATTTATGTTCTTACATATGAATTAAAGGCATACTAATATACTTTTTATTAACTAGCATCATTAACGGAACCCTTTTTATGAAATTATCTAAAATTATTAGAAATATTTTTTTTAATTCACAGATAATACAATGCATGACTTTGGTAGTGAATACATGCATTTACAATCATAGAGTTTTTATATACTGTATATGGTATATGATCACTATACTAAATAATTGAAATGTTTCCTTTATGGAATTCCATTCTCTTTATTGAAGAAATGGCATTATGCCGCGTTGCCTCTGCTGCTGTAGAAAATAAAACATTATTTTTACTTTACATTAAAGTAAATTATTTTAGGTTAAGATTGCCTTTTACGAATATGAAGCACGTCCATTTTGTATGGCAGCGAATGGTTTATCTATGGTTTTATTTGCCATTCTATTTATAATGTAAGTGATCATTCGATTTTTTTGCAATATATTTTTATGATATAAGTCTATACTTATAATACTATTATTATAAAATTTGATAAGCTTAAAAGATGGATTCGTTTTAAAAGAATGTAATAAATACAATAGGTACATACTTTTTTAAGTACTTTTATTTTTTTTTGTTACATGTGACTCGGGTATTTATTGTAAATTGTAATATGTCAATTGCAAATAAGTATGCAATCGTTACAACGTCATAGAGCGATCTATGCTTTTTTTTTCTTTTTTTATGGTTAGGCACTTCTGTGTATGTGCCAATATTATAATTGATTCTTTTTGAAATTTCAATAGAATTAAAATTCAAAAATATTTATTTATTCATGTAGGACATTTATGACCGTCATGTTTTTTGTATTAATATTTTTTTCTCTACAGTCCAATTCAGTTTACTGATTCAATAACTGGCAAACTCAACAGATTTTTTTTAAGTTTAGAAAATTTAGAAGAACGCAATATATGTTGTGAAAATAATGCATTCTGTTGTATTCTGACTTACTATTAAAGTTTTGCAATACGTAAAGTAACAACTAAGTGACATACTGTCTTTGCGAAAACAGCAAAAACTTAGATTTTGTAGTTCACTTTATGAGGTTATCAGTATGATAATTAGTTTTTAAACGGAATTCCAGTTTACGTTACTGTTCTTTTTTAAATAAGCTGATAGAAGTACAAAGAAAATGATAATATGATAGTACTAAAATAAATGTCAATAAATTGACCGCATATTAGTGTTGGACTTAATTAGTGCTCTTATCGTACAGACGCCGGAATCACACACGTGCTATTTTTTTTCTTCAACTATAAGTAAGTTATGTTATACGTAACCTGTGTATCTAGAATGATTCTATCTTTCTGCTAGTCCGATATACCTTATGATAGTATAGGTACAGTCAGCTCGTTTAATTGTCTGTCGTCTACGATAGACCAAATAAATTGTAGTGATCATCGTGGCATTTATATTAAAATTTATTCACTGCTAACTTATGTGACATCAAGTTAACGACGGTAAAAATAAATGTTATAAACTTAATTATTTTAGTTGTTCCTTGTCTTTATATCTAATTTCGTCATTTGAAGGACAGAGACAAAACATAAAATGGTCACGGTCCAATTATGATTTATCAGATTTACCAATAGACCGATCAGTCTACTCATTATAAAATGAAAACTGAAATGAAGTAGAATAAGATGTCTCTATTTTTTGTATGATACTGGAATGTTCTAAGGGTTGTTCCACCAGATGGACAATACGAGTAGTCAAGTGTCGCATATATCCACTTGCAGTTGCATCAGCTCACCAGCGGTGCCCTCAGACTAAAATCGTATCCGTCAGGCGGGTGTTGGCCTTTAACCGCTCCATAAGTCCTTCCGCGGATTTGGAGTGCCAACTGCACTCGCCCCCTATCATCCGGTGAAGCTGTAAAGGGCAGCTGCGGCCACGAGTAGTCTAAAAAAAAATCATCTCACCATCACCTTCGTACCTTTTTTGCGTTGCCATTCGAGAGGATAAGTTCCATAATACCTCGGTGTTATGTCTCATTCAATACAACATTAAAAAAAAATACGAGCTGAGTTTCTTGTCAGTTCTTCTCATCTCGAAATCATTCCGAACTGACGGTAGATTTGACATATCATAAGAGTCTGTAATAGACCTACATGAATAAAGATATTTTGAATTTGAATTTTGAATTTGAATTTCAATGTCATTCAAGTTAGCAGTGCAGTAATTCTGTCATTCAATTCCAACGGTTTACTTCAACGCCCACGCATTAACAATGAACATGTTTTTTATTGCTCATAGTTAACTATTAACCCCCGACGAAAAATAACGTTGTATAAGTATGTCTGTGTCTGCATCTTAGATATGAAACTAATGAACCGATTTTGATGTATTTTTTTTTTAGTAAGCAGATATGATCGAAATGGTTATTTGGTTCATGAATATATAATAATAATAATGTTTATTTTGCATCAAATATTGACAATTTATATTGTTCCCTGGTACCTAAACTAAATAGATTTTTGTATTTTAGGTACCAGAAGGTTATGATCAGTATGTGTTAGGATCTGTTCAGGTGTTTCAAGGTCATCAGCTCTTATGTTAGCTGTAATAATGATCTTAGACGTGTACAGGATATTTACTTTTAGAATCTTTTGTGTTGGTGTTTATTTAAAAATTTTAATTGTATATCTAACTTGTTTTGTATTACATGCTTGTATGTAATTGACTGATATAATAAGTGATATGATCCAAAAATTAAATGTTTATTATTTATTATTTTTATATACAATCTCATTGATGATCCAAAAAGAAACAAAGCGCTGATATTTCATAAAATGTTGTTATGACATATTTATTTAGGTTATATATTAAGTTTTATAAGATGACAGATACTTTTGGTTTATTTATTAATCGTGAAAACTTCATGAATGTAATTTAATTTTGTTTTTTGCTATGTTTGTTTTATATGAAATGTTTCTAATGAGATGTCCGATGAAATATGACTAATGTGACCTTTATTTAGACTATTTCAAAGTGGTTTATTGAATAAAAAACCTAACCGTGTCATTAATTAATTTAAAAACTCAATACATTTTTTACACTTAGACTGACACTTTTTTTTAATGATAATGAAGATGATAATGGAATGGTATACCCGCCTGTGCTAACGGTTTACGGGACACTAGTGGAGGATGGCAAGATGAACATGAAAAGCCCATCGTGACAAATTACAGAAATTTATTTTTTTCAACCTGACACTTAGCAATGGGTCCATATTACTAACGACACCCTTGACACTTAATGAACTTAATTAATATAAATATGTAGTAGTTTGGAAACAGCGTCCCTGTTTCCAAACTACTGCTTAATTTTGGCTAGCGACAACGAGACAGACAGACGTATATACAGTAAAACTCAACTAAAACTCCTTTTCTTTTCTTTTTCCTTCCCTTAATTTTATTTTTTTTCTCTGCTGTTTACAATTGTGCAAAATGTCTCCCATAGATCAGGGCGCTTGTTGAAATATCGGGAGCTCTTAATAAAATAATTACAGTTAGTTTAACTTACTAGTTCTCTTTCTCTACAATTTGAATTTTAACAATGATGTTTAAAAATTACTTTTGTATTCTTAAAACGACAGATTAAAGTACTTTTCAACTTTTTTTTATGTATTATTTACTCTTCCTCTAAAAACTTTATTAAAATAGTTTTTTTGTCTATATCCTAATATAAAAAAGTTTTTTTGTCTGTATCCCTAACTTTTTTAAAATACAGTTCAAAATTCTTCTTTGTTAAAATATAAAACTTACTATACCAACTATTGGCTTTTACAATTTTGGAAACATATAAAGGTATTACTTGGATATCTCATTATGAACGTTTCGTATAACATAATATTGTGTTAAGTATAAAATTGTGATGCCCATTCTAGGTACAATATAGTTAAACACCGTTGTTGTAATGTTGGAAATCATTCCCATTAAAACTACATTTTACACATAATTGCATTTTTTATTTAATACCAACTTTTTATACTTACACTACAAAAATATTCAGAGGAGAGAAGTCGAAAAAACTGTGGGCTATTTGCAAGATCAAGGTATGTTAAACTTGTGTTATGATGTTCTAGACGACTAATATAAATAAATATTTTTTTTGTACAAACATGTACATACAAACAATCATATTCATGAATACAAATCTTTTTACCATGCGAGGGATCGAACACGCGACCATCGGAAGTAAGGGGGTCTGCTAAACCGATACAATACCGATGTCGTCAATGATATATATATCGATGTTGAAAATTAAATTTTTAGTAGCAAAATATGGATGTTAAGACTTCTATAATATCAGCCATTGAAAAATGGAAAATTAAAAATTCCGCCATTGCAAAATAAAATATATGATCATATAAATATATAATCATATAAAGTATTAGCAAAAAACAAGTACAATGATATTTTGCTAAGTATAACATCGAAATTTCTCATTCGATTTTTTATCGTAAATAGATGTGAGATTGAATATTCAATATATTCAATCTCACATCTATTTACGATAAAAAATCGAATGAGAAATTTCGAATGCTTGAATTGGAACGTTGCGTGAAAGAGAAACATAGATGTGTGCGAGATAGTGAGAAAGTAATAGGGAAAAACAAAATAAGGTAATAGAACCTAAACAATAGAATAAAGAAGGAGAAATAAATGGAAGATACATGAGCAAAGACTTATTTTCTACCACTAAATACCATAAATATATTTATAAAGAAATATGAATATCATCTACGTATTTTTTTTGTAATGTCGACTACCCCTAGTCATTTTTACAGTAGCTATACAGGAGTTACAGTAACGGTAATGGCTGGCGGGTTTGTCTGATAGCTTGTAACTAGGAAATCCACTAAAATACGAGTATTTACTTTGTTCTTCACTACATCTTATGATAAGAGAAATAGATATGTTTTTTTTCAATTCTCGTTCATGGCGTGATGCTGTCCAAATCTGAATCCAGAAACTGAAATCAATGTTATTGAATTAGACTAGTCTTGTTATTGTTAAATAAGTACAATGTCTTATCAAAATCTCTAGGCATCTGCATAATTTCAAAAAGGGAGAGTGTTTTGATTTAGTTCTGATGTTACTACCGACATAAACAAAAAAGGAAGTGAGTTCAAATCTGACCGGCTAAAAACTATGTAGATATACCTATTTCTTACTAATTCTTCGGTGAAAGAAATACAATAATTATTCTTTGTTAGGTTACGATGTGTAATACTCAGAGCGTTGTGGTCTAGTAAATTACACCCAATAAATCGTGAAATCAAATCTGTCAGATTTAGTCTTCTTAAAATAAATATATAATAGTTTCTTTCAGCTCTCCGAGACTATTCAAAAATGCTTAAATGAAGTTTATTTGAATAAAGGATTTTCTATTCTATTCTACCATGAAGTATTATAGAAGAAACAACAAACCAATCGATCAATCCGAAAGATGGCGATAGTCTCGCTTTCTAACATATGGGATTCAAATATAACAACCGAAATAATAACAATTAAATAAATTACAACCACGGCATCGACAGTTAAAACTTCATATGGGATAGCAGTAGGTACGGTATGTAGGTATTATTACCTTCAAATCTAAATTGTCTAATGCCCGTTCCAACGCCAACAATCCAGGGTCATCTGGAGTGAACACCCGACATTCATCGTCGAAGAACCTCTCCATCTTCAGCTGTAACTCCTCGTTGTAGCGACGGACGCGCTCCTCCGCAGCTTCCGCTAAAGTATCCAACGATAATGATGGCTGAAAACTAACAAATTTATCGTAAGAACTGTATTTTTTTTAAACTACTTTAATGTCAAAGAAGATACCCTGACAACTAGCCCACTCGATAGAAGCTGACAACCGTCGCTATAACAGAATAGTTAGGGAGTTAAGAACCGTTTTATCTCGTTAAATTTTATTATAAGCAGCACTATTATTAATTTTTATTTCAGACAAATAACGATGATTATTCCCAAGACAAATAAAGATGTTATATACACGAACGACCACGAAACACGTGTGACCATGACCACCAATGGAAGTTAGGGTTGGGGTTTCTGGGCGAGACTCCACCCTCCAAGGGTAGGTGGATAAGCTGTCTCATGTCACGCCAGTAAACCCTTCATGCATTGACATATACGAGGACTAAGTTTTAGAAATTGATGACCCCATTACTAGCAATGTACCCTGTCAAGATGCCCTCTCCTGGAAACCATCCTCATGTTCCTCCTATCATCCTCCACTGGTGCTCCGCCAGCATAAACCGTTAGCAACCGGGCGGGTGCATCATACCATTATTATCCACAAAAAAAGAGGATGCAGAAGACCAGTATCATCATTCAGGGGACTAAGGTACCATTCCTCTCTGTAATGTCACTGTCAAATTCACAGACAACTGACAAGTTGAAACAAAACCGTTAGCATTTGAAATTGGTATTGGCAAAATCATTGAATGTCTGATGGAGTTATAGTTTTAAAAAAAAGGCGTTGGCAGCAGAATACATCCACACAGGCGGCTTATTATTGCTTATTTAAAAAGATTTCCACAGATTAGATTCACAGTCTATTATTTATAATTTATCTATAGTCTCACAGGAATTAATGTCATCTCTATTGGTGATTTTCTGCAATATACTGCGATTATCCTCCAATGGGAGATGGCCTGATACATCTTGTAAATACTAATAGAAACTAACCTATAAAGCGATGATAGATATCTAGGTGGAAATGCAGCATTTGCAGCCTTCAACTCAGCCCACGGATCACTGAAGCTTCTGTTTTTGTACTGCATCAAAATTAATTCATTATTCAATTAAATTAAAATATATTTATTTACTACAAACAAACTATAAATGCAATACAATTCTAAATTTTATAATATTATTGGTAAACCATTTGTTAAAGGTCCCGTCAAAATCGGTTCAGCCTTTTCAGAGATTATCCGGAACAGACCGACAGACAGACAAAAATTATAAAAAATGTTATTTTAATGTATGAACCGTATTTATATTCATTTGCATGTAGTAAAAAACGGTTATTTCAATATTACAAACAGACACTCCAATTTTATTTATATCTATAGTGATACATAATATAATTATGTTTACCCGTCTGTATAGTTCGTAATCGATCTCCGAGTCAGTCATCGCTCTGGACAATGGTATGCTTGAGTCGGTGCTGACTGTACTGATCTCGTATTCGTCAGTGTTAGATGACAGTATGCTGTCGCTCCTGACCGTCAAAGAGTCCGGCTCTGTCCAGTACGGGGACACGGTTATATCGTCAGGTATATCCAACTCATTTACCATTGAAGAACGATACTTTGGTATTGAGGAAAGGATGGACTCGAACATTCTCATTTCGACTCATAAATGCACGTTGGTCACTAAACCTGAAGATAAAAAATTGGCAATGTAGTACTATAATGATATAGTTTATATGTTATTAATTAATATTATAAATGGGAAAGTTTGTATGTATGTTTGTTACTTTTACACGCAAAACCTACTAAACGAATTTTGATGAAACTTTACAGAAATATAGCTTATGCATCAGAATTACACATAGGCTATATTTTATATTGAAATTTAACGTTGGTGAAACCGCGGGCACAGCTAATATATTATATACTAGCAGTTCCCGCGACTACGTCCGCGTGGAATATAACTTTATTTTTCTAAAACAAAATATTTGTTCTAAAATAAAAGTAGCCTAAGTTACTTCTTATTACACCAGCTACCTGCCAAAAAAAGTCCCGTCAAAATCGGTCTAGCCACTTCAGAGATTAGCCGGAACAAACAGATCGACAGACAGACGGACAAAAATTGTAAAAAATGTTATTTTGGAGTGTGTACCGTATTTATATTTTAATGCATGTAGTAAAAAACGGTTATTTCAATATTACAAACAGACACTCCAATTTTATTTATATGTATAGATTAACTTTTATTTTATAGTTTATATACCTATTACCTACTTTCTACAGTCATCTGTATCTAGTATACATAGTGTATCTTTAGTATCTTTAGTGGATACCATGCGTGCGTAACTTTCTACAAAGTTACTTTGTAACAAGTCATATCAAGGTACTCATGCAGACAATTTTATTCTGAATGCAATAGAGATGCTATTATAGATTTACTTTTATAACATTAAAATGACAAACAAGCTTACGACTCATCTAATGGTTAGCGGTAACCATCTCCTATATCCAAGAAAAGCTCATCACGTTATCACTATGATTATTCCGGGTTCATTTCAGAAGACTAAGATGCCATGCCTCGTATCGTGCTATTAATTTCAACCTATAATTGATATGCTTCTATAATTTCGCTGTGTAATCTGTACCTTACAACCAAAATACAGTTTACCTACGAAGCAAGCCAGCGGGTGAACAAAGGATATGCTCTTGTAAGGTTTCAATGTCATATTGGTTTGGAAATACCACTACTGACATTGTTATATAAGTAACGACCAATGTTCTGCAGTGGACTGCAATAGGTTCAATGAAATCAAGTATAAATTCATGAGCTGTACTATGACAAATCGATTATACTCATCCTGATAAAATTCCGGAAGTAGTCGAAACAATTGTTGCGAAAAAGAAACAACAGTTATTACATACTTATGGTGAATATTTTCCGAAAATCCCACGGATTCCCACGGAAATGAACGGCAATATATCCCGCGCTCAAGTCATTATGAATAACATGTTTGTATAGTAATTTTAAAACTATCACTACCTACTAGCGCTATTAAGTTCTCAAGGCTTTTAAAAATTAAGCTAATTTAAAAGGTCAAACTTAAATACCTCACGTGGATTGAATCACGTAGTCCAAAAAACCAGGCTGGGTCCAAGAACGTTCGCTGCAAATATTGTGGAAGATTGTTTGATCAATACGTGAGACTTACCATGCGACGATACTCTGCATAGCTAGGACGAGAAATGTATGTATGTATATATATAACTCAAAGGTGACTGACATAGTGATCTATCAACGCATAGCCCAAACCACTGGACGGATCGGGCTGAAATTTGGCATGCAGGATGTTATGACGTAGGCATCCGCTAAGAAAGGATTTTGATTAATTCTACTCCCAAGGGGATAAAATAGGGGATGAAAGTTTGTATAAATCTTCTTAAGTTTTCGACTGATTGAACTGAAATTAAAGATTGGAGCTACTGCAATGAAGACGTTCGCTTAAATATGATTTTGATAAATTCAACCCCCATGGGGATAAAATAAGGGATGATGAAGGATGTAAATGTATTAGTTTGAACCTATCAGTAGCTAATGGAACGAATAAATTAAGACGAACAAAACAATTTTTAGTTCTTTAGGCTACTTTTATTTTAGAAATAAAATTAAATTCAAAGCGGACGAAGTCGCGGGAACAGCTAGTCGTAGTATAAAAACAAACACTGGGCGAGCACTAGTGTGTATAAAAATGATAGATACAATGTATGTATGTTTTGTTTTCTGGTATAATACAAATATTAAATAAACAACAAATTATTGTTAATACACTGTGGAATAATTTTATCATTGAAATTGTTTAACCTGAGATAAATCTATGTAACCTAAATAGCTTACAAATAGGGTTATCTATTTTCAGAATTCGCCTATAATACCAAACTTCCTGCCCTTTGCCCGCATTTCGAATTGTCACCATTTTTTTATAGAGTAATATTTTAATAAAACCCTCATTATTTGTACTGATTCAGGCAAATAATTATTAAATTCATCCATTACTGTCATACAGAAAATGTTTTATTAATCTGTATTATTTAATATTTTTAGGTATTTTTCTTGACAATTTGGGGGAATATCCCTCATGGAGATCCGTCCGTCCCAGGGGCTTAACGGACGGGTACTGTGAGACTTCTACTCACTAAAAATCGCATTGTATTCCTCCCTGCCGCCATAATGCCGGGGTTGTGGGAACGAGTTCGCAATCACCGCGACTCCAGCGGCGGTTGCCCGCAAGCGGACCGTCCTCAACGCGTGAGGGGAACTCTTCCTAGTCCTCCCGCCTACCGTGGGGGAGACGAACCAGAATAAGGGATGCGCGTCCCCCTCATCTCGGCTCGTGTTGTGTGGACGGCAGACTTGAACCCCTGAGTCTGCCGCCCACACAGACACCCCGCGCCCGCTTCGCACGTGTCTCTACAAGAGGTAGAGTCATAGCAGGAGCTCGTCACCAACGCGACGCTTAACGGCCAGGACGGGCCCCACCTGGGCTCATTGTCCCGTCCTGCGGTGTTCTTCTCGTCCGACTATTGGGCTTTATGCTAATTATAACCTGAGGGCATTATTAACATACTGCTTGAGGCACACTAGAACCAAACATTGTTCAGTCACCGTTCCCCGCGTACGTATCCACGGGGATGGGGGACCTAACAATGTTGTAACATACGAAGAGGTTGTCTGACCAGCACCCCTTCTAAACTCCTTACATTTTTAAAAGGTAAAGGTACTATTTTTTTTAGAATTTCTAATAGCTCTGTATGGCAACCCTAAGTCGTAAGTATCTGTGGTATTCTTTAAATACCAGTACTCTCCTGTTAGATAGCCCCCAGACCCCGAGATAACCGGGTTTAGGTATGCGAAGAATAGTTCCTACCTTTGGACTTTGTTATATAGCGCACTAGCTCTTACCCGTTATTTTATGTGCTTTCTTTGAGCTAAAAGATATGGGCATTCTCGTGATGCAAATTCAAATTCAAAAATTATTTATTCATGTAGGACATTTCAGCCGCTTATGACATTTTTCACGCGTCAAATTTTAATATTACAATTTTTTCCCTACCGTCCAGTTTAGTATACAGATTCAATTGAGAAGAAATAGCAAGAAACTCAATTAAATTTCTTGCAGTTTGTCTTGACACAAAATTGAATTACAAACCATCAGACAAATGTTTCCCGCGCTTTTTCTACTTTTTTAAAATTAAAAATTGTGTCATCTTTATGTAAGTCTTCTATTAATACTTCTTCTAATATTGACATTACATAGGTCTGGTCTTCGATCCACAGAAGTTGGCAGAAATTTGCACTATTACGGGGTGGACGTGCCAGCACCAACAGTCTCCTGAGAATAATTGCAAACATACTGAACTGTACGTATGTTAAGACAACGCATCGCAAATATTGATGTTAGAAATTTCAATTTTTCTCAGCAATTACAAATAATTCGGAGATGATATTTAGGTTTTTCTTTTTTCACATCTTTGACATCATATACCTTGTTCTCGTTACATGATTGATTAACTTTTGTAGCAGAGTAAAAAATCTTAAAGTGGTCTTATAAAACATTACATAGTAGGTATAAGAAAAAAAAAATAAAAAAACTGTTATTTTTTTTATTTTGTATGTTTATTTATTTATTTAAAACTTTATTGACCAACAAATTATGGTACAGAAGGCGGACTTAAGGCTATAGGCATTCTCTACCAGCCAACCAGAAAAGTGCAGAAATACTTGATGGTGGCTTAACATTGATTATATAAATAACATATATACAAATATTAGACTAAACTAAACAAGAATAGACATAGACAAAAAAAATATTAATAAATTATTATTATTATATTATTAATAATTTAAATTGTTTACAGACCGATTCTGCAGTGCTGGATGGCTGTGAGTGTATATGCTAAATTCACAAACCAGCCTATATGCCTGTATTTGCCGGGTATATTTAGATTAACGAACTACCTCCCACATTCATTTAGGTTGTTAAGGGTGTTTCTATCATCGGAATGACAGTCAGAAACATAAATTAATATACATATATTTATTATTGTGTCGGCCAACTTTGAACTCTCGACCTTTCGTTGTAAGTCATGTAAATAAACAACTAGACCGCGATGCTACCTATCCAAAATAGCATCGCCGTTTCAAAATAGCATTAGCATACAGAATAACATATTGTTCCATCATGTTTACTTTTATAATAATATGGCAAGATGCCGAAAAACGCGGGAGAGCGTACTGCACGAGGTTTTAAGCGCCGTTCTCACAACAGCGGGACACCCAAGTTGTTTTGTGGCTGACTAGCTGACACACGTAACTTCGTCAGCATCAGAGTTTACTTTATTGAGATATTTGGCCTATTGTCAGGTGCTTTATACCTGTAGCACTACGACCTACATAAATCCACCGCCCACCTTGACCACACAGATAATTTCAATACACTAGTTTTATATATTACAAACAGACACTCCAGTTTTATTTATATGTATATATGTATAGATTATATTTCGCCCAATTGACATAATATCTTTTCAAATTGTAGAGTATGTATTATTGCTATATTAAAAGAGAGATATTACCTCAATCTGCTACAGGTCTGGATTCACATGCCCAGGCTCCGTTAACCTTTACTGAGAAAGCATCAACGTCAAGAGCATTTTGATGTTGTCGTTAATGTTAACACATTTCAGTTTTCAATTGTTTAAAGTTATTGGTATCCATCCTCTACCTGTTCATATAGGGTCTTATATGAACAGGTAGAGGGTCTTTTTGAGTTAACACACTTTGATCTGCCCTTCAATTGCTAAACCTGTGTGTAACACTCAACCTCGGATCAAGGAAGGGGCATGCCCCCGCGCGGCAAATTCTGGGGACGGCAAATTAGAACTTAGCAGAAGAATACATAACTCATCATATCCAACACATCTTTGACAACGTAAAGTAAATTGTTTGTATTTAATGCATTTGAAAATTAATCACTGTTAAAAAAAGCCAAGATAATTAACAGCAATACTAATTGAGCAAATTGTGTGTTAATATGTATATTGCAAAAATGTTGGCCGGATGGAGAGGGCCGGGGAGCGTTAGGGGGCGACATTTTTAGTTTTTGACCCGCCTCGAAATGAAGATCCGGGGCTGGTAATACTGTGGGAATGGACCTTTATCATTCACGTGAAACAAACATGCATAATGTACAATATTTTGCAGTTGGCGCACCGCGTCTGCGCCCTGTACTAACTACTGTTGAATCATTTTTCAGAAGCAGGTCAACGTCATGTGCAACAAAATATTTTTTGTACAAAACTATGCAATTACGTTTGTTTTTGTAATTGGAATAAGAATATAAAAAATATTACAATTCAAAAGTGCTTGTATTCAGTTTATTTGAATATATATTATTTCTATTTCTATAATATACCCTGTATAATTAGTACAGCGCAATCTAGTCCCAAGCTAAGCAAAGCTTGTTTTATAACAACTAGTACAAATATCTAAATATATATAACTAAGAGGTTGACTGACATAGTGATCTATCAACGTACAGCCCAAACCACTGGACGGATCGGATTGAAATTTGGCATGCAGGTAGATGTTATGACGTGGATGCCTACGTGCTAAGAAAGGATTTTGATTAATTCTACCCCCAAGGGCATAAATAGCGGATGAAAGTTTGTATGAAACTTTGTCAATTTTAAACTGATCGGGCTGAGACTTTGCATGCATAAAGCTACTATCACGTAAGCATTCTCTAAGAAAGGATTTTGATTAATTCCACCCTAAGGGGATAAATTAACGCGAGCAAAGCCGAGGGCAAAACCTAGTTTAAGTATAAGACGTGTGTGCTCATAATTTTGTTAATTTACAGTCTTCCCGCTCCTTTTCAGTTTACCCGTGATCACTTATAACAATCACTGTGAAATATCTGGAATTAAAAGAAATAAAACATGGTAAGATTCCTTCTTTTCTTAATTTTACGTATAAATAATGACCGCCTAAATTAGGAAATAAGTATATACCAAACGGTTACATCGTGCGAGGAATCGAACTCGCAACTACCGAAAGTAATACGGTGTGCTAAACCGCTAGCCATCGGCAACGGCAAACAAGCTGACGGCCCGTCAGAAATGAACAGTCACCTGTATATATGAGCATCACATTTTCCAGTAATACGTGTGGTAAATTTTAATTGTAATTTCACTGCCATATTCCTTACCTACAAACATCACTACATAGTATATAATGATTATTAATGATGATCATTAATCATTATATTGCAATCAGTCTTCCAGGGTATAAACAGATTTATTGAACGTGTAAAATTTCTTGAGAGGTGACTCTCCATTGAGAATACAGCCTCATATATTCCAGCTTATGCCAGGTTGTTGAAGTATAGTAAATCACTACATAGTATAATACAAAGTCGCTGTCGCTGTCTGTCCGTCTCCATGTGTGCATTAAATCTTTAAAACTACGCAACGGATTTTGAAGCGGTTTTTTTATTCGATAGAGTGATTCAAGAGGAAGGTTTTTTTTATATAACACAGGGGACAAACGAGCATGCGGGTCACCTGATGGTAAGTGATTACCGCCGCCCATGAGCACCCGCAACACCAGGTGAATTGCAAGTACGTTGTCGGCCTTTTAAAAAAGAATAAGCTCTTTTCTTGAAGGTTTCAATATCGTATCGGTTCGGGAATACCATTGCTGGAAGGTGATTCCGCAATGTGGTTGTGCGAGGCGATATATGTATGTATACCATAAACTGCTTATTGACTGAAATAGGTAAGATAGAGACTGTTTTATACAAAGTTACTAATACTGTATAGTATAATATTATACCTACAATATACAGTGTCATTATACTGATTAACTAGTTTTGTATAGTTCACCGACTAACCAGTTCGGTCCCAAAGACCAAATATGGACTACGCCAACTAGATCACCAAATTTGCTTTTTAGTTTATTATATAAAATAACAGAAATCTAACTATAAAAAAAATACAGCGAATTTGAGCGAAGTGAATTAAAATATAAGTACTTATATACTACTAGCTACTCGCCCCGGCTTCACACGGGTGTGCATGTATTATATATATAAACCTTCCTCTTGATTCACTCTATCTATTAAAAAAACCGCTTGAAAATCCGTTGAGTAGTTTTAAAGATGTAATGATAATTTAAGATTAAAAATAGACAATATTTGCGGTCAAAAAAATAATAAGTTATAGCTGTAGAGTTTAGAAGCGACGAACTAGTTAACACTAGTTAAATAGATAGATAGATAGCATCTCTTGGGTCGTCGGGGTTTGTCTGCAGGCACATAGTTCTCTCTTATCTACTTACTAAATAGATACATAATATATACATTACTAGCTGTCTCGGTAAACGTTGTTTAGCCCTAAAATAAAAAAAAAATTTAGAGGTGGACTACCCCTAACATTTAGGGGGATGAAAAATAGATGTTGGTCGATTCTCAGACCTACTCAATACGCTCACAAAATTTCATGAGAATCGGTCAAGCCGTTTCGGAGGAGTATGGGAACGAAAACTGTGACACAAAAATTTTATATATAAGATTTTAGACAGTATTTTAACGTACACATACAGTATTCCGTTTTACAATAATTATGTAGGTATTAGACAATTAAATTAGGAAACGATTGTTTCTATATGTTAAGTTTCTAGGTTATATGTTTTATAGTTCGCAGAACGCTCCGAGTCGCGTCCCATTATCGAGACTACTGACTAGAATCGTTCGTTACAAGTTTCCACAATATCAGCTGATATCGCGATCATGTCTGGCCACTAGTCAAGTGTTTAATTCAGTTATGTCTCGATAGCACACGCTAATGGACGTGGTAAACGGCTCGCCGTCGCTACGGCTGCGCGGCGGCGTTCACAACAGTGATAATAAAAAACATGAGTTAAATCTGTGCCCAAGTGTCATGTCTCCGGAAACACAGCGACTGCTGCCGCCGACTACGGAGACCATAATGACGAAGCCATTCCCTATACGAGGTAAATGTGTCACAAAATTTTATTGCATACTAACTACCCGCCGCGGTTTCGGTTCAGATGTATACACATAAATCTTCCTCTTGAATCACTCTATCTATTGCTAAAACTGCATTAAAATCGTAGTTTAAAAGATGTAGCGGACAGACAGCGTAATCGATCTTTTTGTACTATGTAAAAACTAAAAATAAGACAAACACGCGTCTCCGTGACAAACAGTCTCATTCCATTGCCATCTGATACATAAATCCATTTAAAAACAAACTAGTGCAAGTCGCTGTAGTTATGAAAGTTACTTCGCGGCTTTATAAATCATATCTGTCAATGTATTAAAAAATATTTATAAATGTATCATTTTGTAAATCAGATAATTAAACGTTCAAAGTCAAGTAAAAGTCAAACACAGAAATAATCATTCATAAATAACCTTTTTTATTGGGCAAGATTTTTATTACAATGTTTCAATCCGACGAAATCCAGTTTGGTTGACCATTTCATTTCATTCACAAAACTCAATTTATACTTTTATAATCTATATTCTTCATTTATTTTTATTATCTACAATTTAGTAATGTTTCGAATAATTTAATCGACTGTTTCAATCTATCAATCTAGTTGTTCTTTTCAATCAACATAATAGTATCTGTTACGTTTCGGTCAAGGCCATCCATAACTTATGAATGAAATTAATGTAAAATTAATAACAAGCATCATATTGTGATTAATTTTACATCGTAAAAAATAATCGTTATAATTTAATAAATTTTACGATTAAAAATTATTTAATAAATAAAGATCTGACCAACATGTTTTAGCTATTATTTCGATTGTCTATAACAAAAGAACAACACAGATAATAAAATAGATTTATTAGCCGTTTGTTGCATACTTTTATGATTTTAATTGATTTAAACATAACGAAGAATTTTCGTCACAAGTTTCATAAATTTATAGATTGATTTATGTAGATATTTGATAGTATATAAGCCCCTTAATCATAAAACGTGAACTCACGGCAAATATAAGTATTTTTTTGATAACAAGATATGTCCGCACAGCTGTCATTCGTTTCAAGGCGCTGCGCCTCCGCCTTCCCGTAATTCTGTCTGTATTATGGAAGGTTATGTATGCGTTTTAAATATTTCACAAGGACATTTTCTTCCACAAAAACTGACTGTTTGGTAGTCTTTTTTGACATTGAAATAAATTATGAAATAAATATAATATTTATAGAAGGGAGTACTATTTATAAAATGGAAAAGTAACTCGGTCTGTCTGTCTGTCGACCTTTCACGCCAAAATTACTGAACTGATTTAAATGATAGGTACCTAACACAGATAGTTTAGAACCTGAGAAAGGACATAGGGTACTTTTTAATGGGGAAAAGTGTGGAAACAGGAGGAAAGTATCGTCATTTTTAAAGCTGAAAGCTTGAAATTTCTTTTTTAGGCTGTTGATTCAATTTAAATAAATATGATATCGAAAGTATGTAAAAGTTTTACCCTTAAAGGTGTAATATAAAATAGAAGATGAAAGGTGCTATGGATATTCGTCATTTTTGAAGCTAGAACAATGAAACTTTTTTATTAGGCTAAATAATTAAAAATGCTACCCAAGGTTGTTCCATACGGGCAAAATCGCGGGCATAGCTTGTATAAACGGTCACTGAAATACAAAGTGGGAAAGTAGACTTTTAAAATTATTCGTAGTTACTAAATCACATAATTTGTATGCAAATTGAACCTTCAGTTTTCCACTTTTCTTATTAGGGGAACTTGTCCAATTTCAGTTTCATGAATAGTATTATTGACTTTCTGCTACAGATACAAATAGTAAACAAAATCTTTTGCGTAATACATAAAATTCTGCGTCGTAATTTTGACATTCAGTTGAAAATGAATCTACCTACTTGTTTGCTTTTATATGAAACTAGCTGTGCACGCGACTTCGTCCGTATGTTATAGTATGTAATATTATGTTATCTGTGGTCATAGTGGCCTTGACCAGAATAATAAAAAATATATGAATCATTACATCCTCTCATTTAATTAAAAGGTAAACACTTAAAGGTAACTTTATACGACGTTTGAATGATATATTTATTTATATTTAATCAACACCCTAAAAATAACTTAGAAACTTAGCTTTAAAAGTGACGATACTTCCATACAAACTTTCATCTCCCCTTTCGACTCTATACAACCCTTTTTTCGCATTAAAAAGTAGCCTATGTCCTGTCAACGGCACAGCTTATATAGATTATAGATGAACATGGCTATAAATTTCACGTGAGTCAAACCACTGCCATAGCTAGTTGATTCACATCATAAGTTATTTTACAGTCATCAATTTTACAATTATATGTGACGGTGTGATAACAAATTATGCGTCACTATACGTATATTATATATATTATTTGGTATTCTTATTAGTAATACGTCAGATGATATGCACAGTATTATATGGACTTGTTCAAAGTACAATATTACAAACATACAGTCACCACTACATTATGTTATTCATACAGTCATACTATTAATATTAGACTTGTGCAGTTCGCGAACGAACTAGTTCGTAGATCATTCGCTCTATATTTCGTTATTAAAGTTTTTACTTTAAGTCTAATTCCAAAAAATTAATTTCTTTAAATCCTATATTGTATGAAGTTACGCAAATCTAATCACTTTTCTTCATCCTAAGGTTGCCTGGAAGATATCACTTTTTAGCGATAAGGCCGCCCATTGTTACCTCTTTGTCTCGTTTATTATTGTTTTTTTTTATCATTTTATACATAATTGTGTATGTAACTGTATTTTCTGTGAGAAGAACAATAAAGAGTTTCATTCATTCATTCAAGGCGTGCGATGTTTGCAGAAGAAATACTTATAGACCTCTTGACATTGACAAACCTACTTCTTTTCTCTGGAGAGAACGAACTAAAAGAACAAACTACATAGTTCGCAAAAGAGCACTGAACTAAATTGACTGATCCCAGTGGCGCGATGTTATGCACAAGTCTAATTAATATTATGTTCGATGATTGTTTCTCTATAAGGATATATTTATTATAAAGAAATTGATGCAAACTGTAGGTAAGTAGGATAGTGCAATGTTTTTTTATATGAGTGCTGTTCGGCCAAGTTTTCGCCTGGGTTAGTTAGTTTTGTCAGTTCTGTATCTATTAACTCCATATTCATCCTTACAAAAAAATATACACATAACATCAGCGAGACCAATAAAAACACACACATATATATATATATATATACATATATCACGACCACTTCTTTGTAAATTATGAAAAAATGCCATGTTCTTGATTTTTTTAACGGAACAATTGTTTAATCTAATCATTGAGAAATTTAGTCCAAAGATTTTTTGTTATCAAATTATGACATTTTGATTTCGGCGAGGGCACCGCCCCCAATTTTTATAGCAAACAATAAAGTTACAGGCTTCTTTGTGGCTGATCATATCGATAACTGATAATAGTTGTAAATTGTAGAGAGTTAGTAAAAAAAAGTAGGTAACTTTTATGTAGCTTTGGGTTATTGCGAGGTACTTCAGACCTGTAGCACTGCGAAATAGTACCTAATATAGTAATGTCACCAAAATTAAGAATCCCGAGAAAGACTGAATATAACGTATAATAATAATCTACAGTATATAAGCACTGCTATGTAACCCAGTAGCTAACTACCTACATCCAAACGGACGTGAGTTCAGTTCCGGCAGACACATAAAAATATTGTGTGTCAATTTATTTATCTGACTCTCCGGTGAAGGAAATTCCGATAATAAAACCGAATAATCCGAGAGACGGCAGTAGGCTTGCCGCCTGCCACATTGAATTTAACTATACAAAGTGAAATATATAGCAGATCAAATAAAAAACACAATTAAATTAACGGCCTCGGTGGTCTAGCGGTTTAGCACTCCGCCTTAATTCCGACGGTCGCCGGTTCGATCCCTCGCACGGCACAAACTTTCTATTCATAAGTATGATTGTTTATATCGGGCTGGATGTTTCTATGTATTTATAAATATATATATCTATGTATTTGTATCAGTCATCTAGTATCCATAACACAAGCTTTAACTAGTTTAATTTGGCTCTAGATGGAGCTGTGTGAATTGTCCTGAGAGTTTTTTTTAATAGACTACGATTGCCTGGAAGTAATAATTATTTAGCTTTAAAACTATACAGTGTAACCTTTGCATTGTTTCTCGGAATGGTTACTAACATTTTAATATACAATTAAATTCTTTGTGCTAACAATGAGAGGATTTTATACATTCTAAATTGGTGTTTCCCCTAAAAGCGATTGAAACTTTAATCACTGGTTGTAACAATGGATTCATGACATTTTAACAGTGTTCTTTGTTGAACCATGTATGTCAATGGACTATTATTATTTTATTTCTTGCAATCAGTTATTACCTAGGCCACTTGCTTAACTGATATCTAGAAACTGTTATTATTATAAACTCTTTATTGCTCCAAGCATTTCACACAAAAATTAAACAGAAAAAAAATATATATGTACAAAAGGCGGTCTTATCGCAAGAAGCAATCTCTTCCGGACAGGCTATAGGTAGAGAAAACTATTCAATATAATTGCAGTAATTGATAAACAACTGGGTATCAACACTTGTAACAGTCATTAAATGATTATTTTCAAGTATGGCAACAATGAAATGTTATCCTACTTTTGAAAAAACATTGTATATGAATTATTTTATTATGCGCATATATTACACCACATACAAATATTTGATATCATTAGGCCTCTGCGTTAGCTGGTTCAATAAAATGTCCATGTATAACCTTTTCACAATATTGTTCTAAGAATACACAAACTTTTATAAGTAATTTAAACACATTTTATTGAAATCAAAATAATACCTACTCTGAACGTCGTAGCTCTGTCTACATATCATACAGACGCCTTAAACTAGGCTGGGGCCCTTGGGCACACAAGAATTCGGGACCCTTTTGGAA